TGCTTTCCATTCCACACCTCTGGAAATCTGCCTTTTCGCAAGTGCTTCCTGATACAACCTCATTGATGAAGGTGCTTTATCGTCTTAGGATGCTTATCTATTACTTTTCACAATACAAAAAGAGCCTCTTTGGTTGACATACTTTTCATCCCTATACTTTCAGTCATTTTGTTCACCATTCACTTCCACCTTCATCCCATAATCTCCGAGAAGAGAGACATCTGAGTTTCAACTCTGGCTCAGGATGCTAAGCAAAACGGGGGAGGCAATAACTGGAAAGTCATGCTTAATTTTCTTTCTAGTCTTAAATACACACAGATTTAAATGGTGAGTAATGTAGTGAAAATCCTACAGGGGATGAGGGTGGGGGAGGATAACCCCAAAACAGTCCTAATTGGAGGAGGGGGGAAAGGAGGGAGAGAAAAGACACTATCTTTAGGGTCAAAGAAACAAAGGGAAAAATATTCAGACTTTGCTATGTGTGTACGAACCTGTTCCCACCTGGAAAGGAAATGAGTGAATTTTCAAAACTGAATCTTGTGGAGATTGTTAAATAAAATACCCTTGCTACCTTGAAGGGAGAAGGAAATGGTTTACCCAGCGTCTGAGACTGGCTAGATATCTAGAAAGGGGGAAAAAAGCAAAAATCAACAACAAAATATAACTGAATAATAGGAAGTGGGAAGCAGAGACTTTCAGAGGTCTGGATCATCAGAAAGGTGAGGCAGAACCGGGTCAAGAACTTGACAGCAAAAGAAGGGAACAGGAGGGGGGAGGGGCTAGACCGTGAGAGGGACCTGCAGAGTAATTTATTGTTGATCAAGACTTTTATATTTTTTGTTTTCGAAAAAAGTAGGAATTGCAATTTTAATATTTCTAAGTCTGTAGGCTTCTACAATTAAACCTGTCCCCAAAATAACTTTTACATTCATATTTTGACATTTGATTTTTTAAAATCCCTATTAGGCCCTATTCATCTAAATGAGTTCCACAATTCTATTGGGTTTTTATTTTTCTTATTGCTTAATTTTATACAGCAAATAAAACTCATTATACTATATATTTAACGTGCGATTGGGAGTTAACTTAAGAACATACCACTATGGCTTTTATTGTTTCTATGAGAAAAATTCATTCCAAGTTTCTTAGAAGTGATTTCACCACAAAATTTTGGATCAGTACATATGGGTAGCTGGGGACTTTCTCTACAACTAAATTCAGGCAGTAAGAACCCCTGTAAAGATATGTCTGGTGCAAATGTTTGTCCACAGTGCCCTCTACCAGTTTTAATTGTAATTTCAACACAGGAAAAATAAAAAGCAAGAGCTTTTTCCTATTGTGAAATGAAAGTATGGTTTTTAAAATCAAAAATCAAACAATACATGTTGTATGTGTGAAGTACTAAAAGATAACATTTTAGTTTATTATAGATAAAAATTTTATCACCATTCACTTGATCATGACACACAAAAAAAGCTCCTTGAAGAACCAATTTTCCAAGGATTTCCTTGTTTATTTGTATTTTTTTTCTTTAAAATTAAGGACCTCAGTATGGATATAAAAATGAATTATTTCAAGCATAATGCTTTTGTGATTTGAATTTTCTAAAATCATATTTCCTTTTTTAAAATGGCGCATGATTCCTGAACAGAACTTTTTAATAGTACAAGAGTCAGAGAAAAAAATATCCTATGGTAACTTCATTTGTGTCTGAAATCTGAAATATCTAATTTATACTTTATTACTGAAGTCACACAATTTGTTTTTACTGAACTGAATTTACAAAGATTTTTTTTCTTTCTTCTTTTTTTAAGGTGTTCCTTGAAATATAAAATCTCCTACATGAAGTTGATAACAGGAATTATGGTGGGGAATAAGGGACAGTAACATAGAAATTATGGCATTTTACAGTATCCTTAGGTTAAGTACAAGATAATTCACCTTATGTTTAATTTATTTTCATATACTCATTAAAATATTTCACAGAACCTGAGGAAAAAGACAAGATAATGAATCAAGTTTCCAAAGGAAGAACAAAGGGAAGGTAATTAAGAGAGAGAGAGAGAGTGAAAGAGAGAGAGAGAGAGAAGGGCCAATATAATGCACAATCTTAAAATAATTTAGTAATTAAGAAATGGTAAAACAAATGTCCATTTTCCTTACTACATCAAGGTATGTTTGTGGAGCCTGCAACAGGCACCAGAGCAGATAAGGCCTGTCACTGCATAGTGACCCAGTAGGGAGTGTCCGGGCGCATTTGACAAGCACCAGGTATCTGGCGTTGAGCCCCAGCCTCCAAGAATTGTCACCTAACTTCATTCTTTACTGCAACACCTAGCCTTATCTGGTATTGGGCTGGGGCAAAGCAGAGTTGGAAAGGTGATAGGTCAGTAATACTTAACTTTATGTAATTGGACCTTCCTCATAAGCCAAGACCCTTTATATATGTGTATGCAGTTGACAATAAAGTGAGTGGCCATCAGCTTCTCCTGGAGTGGTTCTTCGGTGCACCCCTTATCCTGTTATCCTTCACCTCACGTCTATTCAGGCTTGGAGTGCAACGTGCTGGGTGCGTTGGGGAAAACTGTTCCCATAATACGTTTATCTCTGGATTTATATTTGTATATTTGTATCTGTAGATCATATTTTTACCATGCATATAATAAATTATCAAAAAGAGTAAGGTTAGGATAACAGTAATAATACTGGCACTTTAGTGGTTTTCAAAGTGTGACTCCAGAATCAGCACCATTGTTATCACCTGGGAATTTGCTGGCAATTCCCGGGTCCCACTCCAAAGATCTTTTGTTGTTGTTTTTTGGGGGTCACATTCAACAATGCTCAGGGCTTACTCCTGGCTCTGCACTCAGGAATCACTCCTGGCAGCCTCAGTGACCCTGTGGCAGAGGTTGAACCTGGTTCAGTCACGTGCAAGGTACCAGCTGTGTTATCACTCCGGCTCTCATTCTGATGCAGAATATCCAGGTTTTGCAAATTCTCTAGGTAAAGTTTGGGATCTATTGTTATAATTGAGTAAATATTTACCTTAATAAAAGACAAATTCAAAAGACAAATTCTGAACATTTTGTCGCAAATTCTGTGATGACTTTGAGCAGCTTGATCTTAGGTATCATTTTCCTCATTTTTAAAGACAATAATACTTATGTCAATACTTAAGTAGCAAACTACTTGAGACATGTGGGGGTTTTTGAGACTAATAAATAATTCATTAATTAAATGGGCTTACTGAGCACCTAACTGTGTGCCAAAAACCATTACAGGTGTTAGGAATCTATCGTTGACTGAAACAAGTCCTCTATATTTCACATGGAACAAAACACAGGGTTTTTTTAAATTTATTTTCATGAAGTTGTTCACAATAATAGATTACATTCAATATTTCGACACCAGTCTAACCACCATTATACCTTCCCACCACCATTATTTTGAAATTTCCTGCCACCACTCAAACCTGCCAAAAGGACAGATACTAGATAATTTATTTTGTATTGCTTGTTATGAATCGCATAAGATGTTGCTTCTGGAATTCTAAAATTTTACATAATTAGGGTCTGGAGAAATCTCTGCTTCGAGCTGCTCGGTTCCAAGATTCTTTTGTGTGTCTCTGGATCATGACAGTTCCAGAGTTTCAATAACAGCCAAAGGCAGCTTATGTGACCTCCAAGGTCCCATAGGCACGGGGAGGCCTGAGTTTGCTGCCATTGCTCCCGTGAACCTGAGCTTTTTTTTTTTGTACCTGAGCTTTTCATTGGGTTGTGGGAGTTGGCGCCCACTGGGGTTCCTATCTGAGGCAGCCGGTGAAATCGGTAGGGCACAAAGTCTAGAGGTATCTCTGTAGTGATGAGATTCTCAGTTCTGAGATTTTTTTATGTGTGTCACAAAACACAGTTGAAATAACAAACATGCAGTACTAATTCGGAGGGGCTGATAAAAAGCATCACAACCTGTGAGCTTAAACAAGACCTCTAATGTTTCATAGTTCTGGAAATTAGAAGTCTGAGATATCTCCTATAACCTGATTATTTTTATAAATGTCATATCACCAAGCTATATTCCGAGGTACTGCAGGCTTCCAAAACATATTTTTTTTCAGGCTGGGTGCAAGGCGGGTACCGGAAGAAGGAGACAACACAATTTCAGGCTTCTTTAATCCAATATAAAGTCATTAAAAAGCATAATTGAGGTTTCCCTAAGAAAGAATAAATTCTGCTTCAAAATGGCAACATCAGCTCCTGTCAAAGAGATGGCAAGCTGCCAATCCGGCCAGCAAGATTTTTCAACCTGGCCAGCCCCATAATTACATGAGCCAATTCCTTGTATTATTTTATATACATAATATATGACGTGTGTTTTATATGAAAGAATATTTCCATTCACCCACTACTTTTTGCCTCATGTTGTGAAGAACCCTGACATACATTTCCCCTATGACTCTTCTTTCTCAAACCGAACCTGAACTTCTTAGAGCTTCAGAGCTCGTCACAGAGCCCCTTCGAATTGGCCACCAATAAATAAAATAAGAATAAAACCTTATTATAACCAAAAATATTAAATATAAAATAACGCGGGTTCCGGGGTCGAGATCTCCCAGCCTACTCGGATTGGAGTCGAGCATCCTCCACCCAGATTAAATAAATCATATTTAAAAAATCATATACAAATCAAAGAATTGGTTTTTACATTCTGTGGATCTTCTGTGGACCTTTCTGTGCTATATGAACTTGGAACTTTATATACTACAGACAAGGTCACATACAAGGTCTCAATCACTTCTGCAGCATGGTGCAGATAAACATGATGACCGACTGCTGTGGACTATATGGCTCCCTACAGGTACCCTATACACTGCTCTGGAACTTATGACTAGGAAAAGCAAGTTCACCGATATGAATGTACACTGAGCACAAGTCAAGAGTAGCCCTGGGCACTGCTAGTGTGGCCCCCAAACCTTATAATAATGATAACAATAATAATATTTTCTGCAGCAAATTAATCTGATTACTCTTCACCCTGTGGGGCTGCATACATAGCACTGTATAGTGAATACAAACTGTCATCTTCTTAAGAGTGTTTGCAGCCTGTTGATTGTATGGATTGTGCTAAAGGACTCTGGAGGTGAGCCTTTCTGGTATCTTATGAGAGGAGGAGGTCTCAACAAAGTCGTACTGAACAAATCCAGTAATACATTAAAAGGATGCCACATAATAACTGAATGGAATTTAATCCAGGTATGAAAATTTGGTTCCACATATGCAGATTATTATTGTAATACACCACAACAACAAATTGGAATATAACACCTGCATTGCAAACCACAACACCTAAAAGGACAGAGAGAGCAAAAGGGAATGTGCCTGCCACTGAGGGGGGGGTGGGGGAGGATGGAGGAGGATGGAGGTAGGGATACTGGAATCACTGGTGGTGGAGAATGGGTACTGGTGGAGGGATGGGTACTCGATCATTGTATAACTGAAACTTAAGCATGACACTTTTTAAGTCTGGAACTGTACCTCATGGTGATTCATTAAAAAAAAATAATAATAAGTTTAAAAAAAACCTGAGGTCAATCCCTGGTACCTCATATGAACCCACAAGCCTGTCAGGCATGATCCCTGAGTGCAGAGTCAGGAGTAAGCCTTGAGCACTGTCTGATGTGGCCTCCAAATAAGCAACAACAACACAAGACAATGTAACAATAAGAAAAAAATTGGTACTAAAGTTCTATTATATATTTTATACGTCTATGTATATTATATATAGATATATATCTTATATTTTATATAAGTTAGACTTGGAAAGACATCCCCATGACTCAATGATGAAGTGAATTTTATGATTTTCCCAATTAGTAAAATATTACACTAAATCCCCACTGCAGTTACAGTTACCATATTCTCATCAAACTGACACCCTCTTTAATGCACCTTATGTCACTGGACAAAGAAAGACTACTTAAGTACATTGGGTACATTTGATCACTCATATTTCCCCAGAAATCTAATTAAAATGTAATAGCAAGAAAAGAGATATTTTATTAAATTCCTCAGATCCATTTTAATTTCCTAAAACAGTGAGCATGCAATAATGTGCTAATTTCCATGGACAATGTACCATTTTAGAATGGAATAAAAAATATATTCAAAGGAGAGGTTGAAAATCTTTCAGTCAGGGGATTATGTCTTTATTGCTTTTCTACTGTTTGCCTGCTGTGGGAATTTAAACAAGTCCCCTAAGACTTCTCTCGGTTTCATTTGTACCTCGTTTGTAAAATAAAGAATAATACTTAATAACTATCTCATAGGGTTAGACTGGAAAAGTAATGAGCTAACATAGATAGGAAAATACTTTGAGATATTTAAATCAAAATCCACTATCTTAAATCCTAATTAATTTTAATGAATTCATGATGAACCCAAGTACAATTAAAGTATACACAATATAGTTATGTTATAAGCTATATGAAATTTTTACACATAAGACATCAAATACGGTTATTCTCACCTTTTAGATTATTGGCCAAAGGTGTAAAATTTTATCTTCTTATAATACTCCCAAACATTATTAAATAACTTATAAATAATTTTTATTTGCCTTGGATTCTGGGGACCATATCAGCTGTGCTTCAGGCTTATGCCAGCTCTAAGTTCAGGGATCATGCCTAGTGGTGCTAGGGGGAGCATATGAGATGCTGGAGGTTGAATGCAGTTCAGCCAAGTACAAGGCAAGTGCCCTATCTGCTATACTATTAATTTGGTCCCTCATAATAAGCATTTTTAAGGAAATAATTAATTACCTTGAAGTAACTTATTAATAATAAGATGATTTATTTTCCAAAACGCCAAGAGAAAATACCTTTGATTCACTTGACTCCTAGAACCTATATCTAACCACTGTTCATTCACATTTTATGTGAATTAAGCAAGTTAACAGATACTAGGATTGATATAGCAGTCTGAGATTTGATCATCCATTGCTCTAATATCCTTCATTCTAAAAGTTCTTTAAGTTTTTTCAAGCAAGTATCTTGTAACTAATATTTTCTAAGGCAGATAAACTAAGCTTAACACATACATTTTAAATATTACCAGAGGTCAGGTTTCCATTTTGGAGATACGGTCAAATGCTACAATATTGTCTAAGGCAAATATATAATGTGATCATCATCTCATTCAGATGTATTGCATTTATGGTGTATAGAAATAATCAAAACTAGAAACTGTTTCTTAATTGTCAGCAAATGCTTCTGATCCTGAAGATAAGTTTCAATATCCAGACTCATATAAAAAAGGCTAATTATTTCATTATGTTGTTCATCTGGGTATGAAATATAAGGGAGAAACAAAAATAATAATAATTATAATTACTATAGCACTGTAGCACTGTCCTCCCACTGTTCATCGATTTCCTCAAGCAGGCACCAGTAATGTCTCACAACAAATTGTGAGACTTGTTGTTACTGTTTTTGGCATATCCAATAGGTCACGGGGAGCTTTCCAGGCTTTGCTATGTGGGGAAGATACTCTCGGTAGCTTGCCAGGCTTTCCAAGAGGGGCGGAGGAATCGAACCCAGGTCGGCCGCATGCAAGACAAACGCCTTACCCACTTCATTGCTTCTTGGCCTTAAGATCAAGTGTAGTATCTGTTCTTATCAGTTTAATAATTACTATAAAATAATAATTTCATTACTATTCTGTACAGGTTCTATTCTAATTCTATTCTGGGTAGAGCTAAAATTAAAAGACTTTTAACATTCTAGAAGTCTTAAGAACTTAGAGAAAATTCTCTGAAAAATAAACATTTTCACATTAAAAGAGGTTACCAATCTGGAATCCATAAGTAATTTGACAAAGAAATATCTGCTCAATTAACATACAAAATGTTATAGTTTACAAGTATGTAAAGTAACATAAAGTTAAAATGGGACTCAATTTAGTTCACTGCATTAGTTACAATGATTTTACTAACTTAGGGCAGTTATGACAATCAATAAGTCAGGTAATAAGTCACTGTCACTGTCCTCCCATTGTACATTGATTTGCTCAAGCAGGCCCAGTAACGTCACCATTGTGAGACTGGTTACTGTGTTTGGCATATAGACTATGTCACGGGTAGCTTGCCAGGCTTTTGCTGTGTGGGCGAGACACTCTCGGTAGCTTACCGGGCTCTTCAAGAGGGGTGGAGAAATCAAACCTGGGCCTACCAGGTCAGCCGCGTGCAAGGCAAATGCCCTTCTCTCTGTGCTATTGCCCCAGCCCCAGGTAATAAGTAAATAATTTTTTTAAAAAATGTGACATCAGTAGATGCTTGTGAAGTTGGCCTTGAACCTGCCTTCCTCAAAAAAAAAAAAAAACAAAATAAAAACAATAACAAAAAACATAGATTCAGTAACAATTTGCAGGAAAAAATCCCATTTTTAGAAAACCAAAACTAGTTGAGAAACTCCAAAGTCTCTCAATATGCAAAACCAAACTCAATAATGGAAGGTAGAAGGGAGGTTTGGGACATCCTCTTGCCTGAACCCCATGGTCTGTATGGTGTTATATTGTACAATAACATTGGTTTGTCCTTTCTACCTGGCCTCAGGGAGCTCAGTTTTATTGGGTTACACCCATCACAGTGCTCCCAAGACACTCCCATTCCTCTGTGTTTATCTTTTAACCTCTTCTCTGTGCTCTGCTTCCCCTACCGGTCAATCACTTTTATCCCCTAATCAGATTCTGGGTTGTAAGGTCAGATCCTTCTAAGGACTCTGGATTTATATTAGTAAGTGAAATATTGCTTTTCTCTTCACCTTATGTCCTCTGCATCATTACGTTAGAGTAATGTCCTTTTTGTATAGACACAGGAAGACAATCAATAAGACACTTTTGTAACTTGGGAGTTAACTGACTCCGAATAATATTTACTCTAGTTTAAGGCTCAGTTGTCCTCAGTTCCTAGCACCCCAAAAGCAGAGTCCCAGTGAGGGACTGGATGGACCCAGGACAAACCGTGAGCTACCCTGGCATTGAAATGGGTCAGGCCAAGCACCATAATACTTAACTATAAGTTAAGAGCATGGTGATGAACAAATTCTGTCATGATCCAAAGAGTAACAACTGGATTAGGACCCTTCGAGGGTTAGGAAAGACTAATCTGGCCTGAGCACTGTAGTTTGGGATCTATAGTGAGATGTCCCCAAGAGAACCACCCTATAAGCTTAATATATCTCTTGTTGTGTCCATACAAAAATGACTAAAATGACTAGAAAGATTATTTAGAAGTAAATCTAAGATGATCGTTGGAGTAAGGAAAGGAGAAACACACCCCTAGATGGTATGAGCAGATCTCCTAGCTGTAGGAGATCTTTGTCTTATCAGAAGGAAGGATTTTCATATATTGATTGTGCTACCTGTCTTAGGTACCTGTCTTAGGTACTGTCTAAGGCTACCTCCAATGCGAAGCGGTGGAGGGTGATACCAAGCCTGTGAAATGGAACACAGAAAGACTAGCACAGGGGACAGGAGGAGACTGGAAGGAGGGGCAGTGTGAAACTGGAATGGGGAGCTCAGTGAGACTGGAACAGGTGCGTGAGGAGGACAAAATAAATGGCAACTGGTCAACAACCAGTCTGGAAGCCTGTCCCCTCCTTCATGCATCTGCTGGCAGCAGCGGCTGCAGGCTGGGGTGGGAAGGCAGTTCCTGGCCAGCAAAGGCATGTGCTGGGTGAGAGAGACCATGCCACAGCCACCAATCACTTATTTGTTTTGTGATCACACAGTATACGTTCTGGAAGATGACCCAACTTATCTAAGAAAAATATTTGGTTCATGTGTTCATCTAGAGTTCCCCAGAGGTATGATATCTATCTTGTGATCTGAAGCTCCAACAGACCTGATGCAAACAAACAATCCAGAGGAAAAGAGATTGTGGTTCAGGCTGGTAGATGCCATTAAACACTCCCCTGTGAGCACTACTGAAAAAAAAAACAGATAAAATTTCCAGTAGTATTTTTGATAGGTATCCATATGGCTTTCCACAGAACCTGGATCAGACGACATTCCCACCAAGAGTAGATGAGGGTTTCTCAACACCACTGACACTGTTTCCAGACTTTTTGATATGTGTCATTGTAACAGGCA